TTTTGAAAATATATTTTGCGATAAGTGATTATTTTGAAATTTTTGTGGTTAAAAAACAGTGAAAAGTTATAGATTTTATTATAAATTTAGTTATTAGGATAATATATGGTTGAAAATGAGTTTAAGAAAAAAATTAAAATGGGCTCAAACAGCACCCAACTTTCTTTTCAATTTTGTAAAATATTCAAAACTTTTTTGGATTAATATTTTTTTTAAATATGAAAATTTATATTTTTGAACACTCGAAACATTCAAAACAAGGGAAATCATTTACTGCCTAATTGTGCTCCAATTTCAAAACTCTTCGACAACAAAGCAAAATCAAACCAAAAATCTCTAATTCCGACACTTCATGTTCCTCATCATACTCTAAACTATACTCCTCTCCCGTGATTTAGAAATAGACACGAAATTGACATTCTCCCCTTCGAACATTGCCCAATACTCCTATAAGCTACTTGTAGTATGATATCGATTAACTAATTATGAATTTATGCTTATAAAGATTTTATTTTCTCTATGAAGAATTGGAGTTTTGGTTTTTGAATTTATTTATCTGGATGATTGTGAAAATATATGGTTTTCAGATTTTTTATTTTTGGATTTTCCTTCGTTTTCTCTCTTATTGGGTGTGTGAATGCTAGCGAAATGGAACAAGAGATTGCTGATACACTAAGTCCCTGTTTGACCCTCATTTCTTAAAATTCATTTTTCAACACCAAATTTCATAGGATCCATAACTTTTTTTAACTATACATTTCATCAACTTTTATTAAAATCTACTAAAAAATTAATTTGATCTATACCAAACAAGTGCTAAATAAAACTAGAAAGAAGGAAAGAAGGGAAAGATATGGGTAAAACTTTTATAATAAGACATTGAATAAACAATCTTGCTATATGTACACTAGCTTTGACATCATAGATGACATTTTTCTGATTTGGTAATTTTTTATACATTAATTTTAACGACCCTTCAAACAATCAACGACGCGAATTTTGACAACTTACACAATGTCATCTAGAAATATACATTTAGATTAATTCTTGAACAAAATATCATGAAATAATTTTTAAAAATTTCAAAACATATTTTTTAAGTTTCTATTTTGAGAAACAATTTTGGAGAATGACAAACCAAATGCATTTTCTTCAATTTTAAAACAAACACTCAAAATAAAAAATTAAAAAAAATGAATTCAAAACCCATATTTAAAAAATAGAAAATACAGCTTTACTCCTTTTTGAAATAATGATGCGAGTGAATGATAACACTTGATATTCATCTCTTTTACTTTTGTGGGGGGTACTTTCTACTTATGTGAAATGATAGTCGTTTACTAAATCCCGATTTGATAATCATTAAAACAAAATACTTTTTTCTGAAACTCACTTTCAATCACACATTTTCACAATGAAATATTTTGCACGTAAATTCAAATTTGTATCTATTTTTAACCATACATTCTAAAAAAATCACCATTTAACCTCCATTTGTTTCTCATNCACGTAAATTCAAAAAAAAAAAATCGTACTTTTTAATCACACATTTTTCAAAAAATCAATATTTTAAAACGTTGTTAAGCTGGAGTTAAATTCTAGTTCTTATTTTTAGAGAAGCCACTTCTATGATTTGGCATTTGTATAAAAAGGTGATGTGTAATAAAGTCAAAATTAGTTAAACCCAAGGTCAACCTTAAGCTCCATGTACTGTCCCTTCGAGCTCTTAACAGAAACTATCTCGTCCTTAGGGACCCCATAACCACTCTATTTAAGTGGAGATTCCGACATCTTGATTCAATTAAACGGTTCCTTGGATGGATTCATTACATGTTTGGTTGTGCTTATAAGTAACGTGATTCCCTATTTTTTGTGATAAATTGTGGATCTCCCACAATAATTAGAGCTTGTACTCTTTTTCTAAAAAATATAAGGAAGTTTTTTGACTCTTATTTCCTTCAAACTAAATATTTTATTAACTTTTATTTTATATATATATATATATATACACACACACACACTATGTGCAAGCAACGTGCAATGCACGTTTGCTTAGTTTATATTTAATATTTTTGTTTAATAATTAATTTGTTATTAATAAAGATGTAATTTTTTTTTTGTTAATTAAGGGCGTGTCTGAGCGCGCTGCAAGGAGGAAGGAAAATTGATTATGTTA